ACTTTTGGCTAGAATAAAGATTTAATGCCATATAAGATAGAGTTCTTAAAGATACATTTTAATATGTATCTTTAGATTTAAAACATTGTTAGTATCGATTTGTTACATGGTCTTTAAGGTCCCCAACTCTATTCTGTTTACTTGTATATGCAAATGTTTTTCTTTCACACGAATTCCCAAACACATGGAGTAGGTTCTTGGGTTAAATGTAATTAAATGTGTTTACCCGACAAAAGCTGAGAAAGGCCAGGCATTAATTAAACAAAAAAAAAACTAAAATAATATTCAAATGTGTCGTCGTCGGGCCATGTCTGGGCCTGGCTTACACATGTTCCCCATCGATCTGTCGCTCGGAGGGCTGGAGCTCCAGAGTCGTTATTCTATTGAATAATATATTTGAATACGAAATAAAATGTTAGTGGCTGGCAAAACTTTGGCTGGCAATTAATTTGACGCCTCTGGAATATGTTTGTCCCCACATGTGTTGCAAGAGAGCTACAAAATCCATTTTAATTGCAAAAACTGTGCGTGTGGCATGAGAGAAGTGGAGAAAAAAAAAAGGGATCAAGTCACAGTTGCCGCCTGGCCTGGCCTGCCCCATATATAGAGTCTATATAGTATCTATGAACTTGCCACCGCAACACGCGAGCTGCTGCGGTCTAGTTGCTGCTGCTGCTGCTGCCCTCTCTTTATATTCCAAATGGCCCCCTGTCTGCTGCAAAAACTTGGCAACTTTGCACATTCGCCCCAACCCAACTAACACTGCATATTTGTCCAAAGTAATGAGACTTTTCACAGCTATTTTTTTTTTAGTCTTGTAGTAGACTTGTAGTATTATTTTTTTGTAGTAGTCGGCCAGCAAGCACAGCGTGAAGTCAAAGTTGTCTCCTAGACAGCCTCGAAATGCATTATGGGAATTTTGTGGCATTTTCATTAACAGCTCGGGCTCGGACTGTGTGTGTGTGTCTTAGTTTTAATTTGTTTGCGATTAACACGCAAGCGTAGAAAATATTATAAAGTTGGAGTAATTTTCGCTGTTGAGTCATATATGGAGGAGGAGGCTACTGATTAAGTAAGATTTAAAAGCGATTAGATGTAGTTTTTATGGCTATAATTTAGGATCTGTAAAGTCATAGCATCTCTGAAAGAGAGTCTGAGAGTCTTTAATTTCTGACCACCACCAGCTGCTGACGTTGGAGGATTTATAGAAGCTCCTATCGGAACACCTCTCTCTCTGTTTGTGGGGCCCGCCTGACCACTCGCAATTAATTAGCGGCAATGAGCTGTGTTGCTTCTGCCTTTGGGGTTTTAGTTTCAGTTTCAGTTTTATGGCAACTAATGTGCTGCTCCTTGGTCGTCGTTGTTATTGCTCTCTTTATGTTGCACCAACATCCACATTATTTGTACGTTGCTTGGCTGGCCAATGTCTGGCTAATTTTCTATTTATTTGACCACAAACACAGATGGAGGACCAGCCATCAGCAATAGCCACACACGGATAAGGCGCACTCGGTCTAATTTATGAGTTTCTTGCACTCTCTGGCAGGAAAAAAAAAACATTAAAGCCAAAAGGCACAGCCTGCAGCTTAAAGTTTGAATTCGTGTCCCAAAGGGGACCGCACCTCTGGAGGATCAATAACTAGTTTACTTTTGCCAGTGACTGTCCAATGCGCTCATCAACCTGATTTGTGTCTCTAGCCACCTTTACGATCATTTTACATTGAAATAAAATACTTTCCATTAAATAAATCTTATTCTAAAGCTGTAATTCAAGTTTTACTGAAATATTTTCTTAGTGTGCAGTCATTGTTCCCTTAGCTATTTATTTCTGTCGACTCTTGGCACACGCCCTCCTCTGACAATTGCTACTGGGCTTAAAGTTCAGGCCCAGGTTCACTTTGGCTTTGAGTTCGAGTTCATGCGTGGCCTGTCTGCCTGACCTGCCCCTTCACTCCCTCCCCCATCTAGTGGAGTTGGCCTTTGCCGCGGATTCCGATTTGGAATTGTTTGTAAAATGACTTTTTGTCATGATTTATGTTTCCACGTTGCGCTTCAAGTGCAGCAGTTTGTAATTTATAATGAGGAGTGGGTATATTCGCTTTTTGATTATTTGAAAAATGTAAAAGTAATATTTTTTATATATTTTTATAAATTAAATGTTATTGAACTTGAATGCTTTCTTCAAATCGGGCATTTATCCTACTGAGTACTTTTTTATTTCATCATAAATAGTTATCTCAAGCTCGCACTATATATTCCCCGTATAACGTATTATATTTAATACGTTTTTTTTAGGTGACTAATAAAAATTTTTCCACAAATATTAGTTCTATTTACATATTATTTAAAAATTAAACATTTATTGCACTTTCTTTAATGGGTTTCGTAAAAATGGTCATTTATCCTACTGAGTACCGTTCCATCATAACCGCTTGATGCTCAACTTTTCTCGATGTGGGTTTGACTGACATTTGTTGTTGCTGGGCTGCTGCTTTAATTAGCTCAGCATTGTTTATGCTTATTTCGATTTGTTTCATTTTTTCTCCATTATTTTTTACCCCTCCCCCCCAGTCGACCACCAAGCTCTATATTTTATTAATTAATTTGCCCGCTTCGTACTTGGGGAACAAAGGCAGGCAGGCATTGCCACCGAATGTGTGGCAAGAAATGAGTTCGTACGTCTGTCAGACTGTTTTTATGTGCAAGAAACACAACCAAAACACAACCCACATGATTAACATTTGCTATTTGCATGGATTAAATCAGAGCCTCTTGGCTAAATTTGCGCAATTAACTGAAGCTGAATCTCAAGCTTAAAGTTTGTTTTCCATTTTCCCCACTGCAATTTGAGATCGTTTGCAAAGATCGAACAGATGCGATAGTCATTTGGTTAGGACGGTATGACTACGAGTATGACTCGTAGACTAAACTAAACTGGTTGCCGTTTTAAGGCATAAACTGCAACAATTAATAACAGCAGCAGCAGCAATAACAAGCCAACCAAATAGTCCCAGTGAGTTTTCATGGTTTCTCAAAAAAAGCAAAAACAACTAAAGCCGAGCTGGAAAATGTTTTAAATATTTAACAGCCATTAATCAATTGGCACTCGGCGCTGATCTAAAGTCCAGATGCGGTTGGTCAGTTTTTCCGTCGGGGGGCTCCGATTTCAAAGTACAGTGCGGTGTCCATAAAGAAGAAAATATAACTATAATTTAAAAACATAAAATAGAGATGTAATAATTTTGAAATTAAATGTTTATTGTTTATAGTTATTTTTATTATTTAAATTTTATTTTCGAGTCACCACTGTACGGTGATTTTTATTACAGACTAGATTGTGCATTATCGTCTCCCATTTCATATATTTTGCAATTTGTTTGGAGCCATAAACATGGAATTGCATTTCCTGCTCTTTCCCTAAACAATAACAACAACCGATAAGGAATATTTGAATTTGATTTAAAAACCACACCCTTCTGGGGGGAAAGTAAAAAAAAAATATTTGAAAATTCATTTCGATTTTGATTCGTGGCTTGCGGTGTTAACTTTGCCATTTCCAGTGCCACTCTCCTATTTGCATTGATTTATCTCTAACTTGGCTGGGAAAAGGGGGCGTGTCTGATTTGGCCAAAAGGGAATTAGCCAACTTAATCAATAACCAGGAGCACCAACCGAGTCTACATTTATTTATTTTTCTATATATTTTTGAAATTGAATCTCAGGTGTTGTTTGGGTGGATTTTTTTTTTTTAATTTTTTGCGAGAGGGCGAAGCCAGTTATTTATGAGAAAAACGTGAGACGAAGCAGTTGCACGAAAACTGTGTACGCCGCTCGTCTATTTACTTTTGGCATTATTATTATTATTTTTGCATTTGCTGCGCATTTTGGGCAGCTTCTAATTTATTGAGAGGTGTGGCCAGTATATCGCAATCAAAAATTATCAAAAAATACAAATCTCAACGACAGTTTGAAGAGCAAGAGCCCGAAATAGAAAATTAAAAAAATCCAAATGGCAACTGGCGGCTGTGCCCAGAATTAGTTTTATTTATGGATTAATTGCAATCGCAGATATATGACATTTAGCTGGAGGCCAGACCAATCGGAAGAGATATTAGAGACTAGAGAGACTGACCCAAAGTAAAGGTCGGTGATCTGATCTGCATTGAAATGCAGATGAGGTGGCCAAAAATAAAGCGATAGAGGGCAAGTCATAAATGAGATCAGAAAACCATCAAAATACGCTGCTTGGAGACAAGAAAATGGATAGTGTGGAGTAAAACTATAAAACCATAGCTACTATTATGAATGAGGTTTGAAAAAAAAAATATGAAATATTAGAGAGACTCTAACTCCAACTTGATCACCTTACATTTTCGTTACGCACTGTCAGTGGCCCGCGTTGTATTTGCATAAATTAAACTAATTGGGCGCCAAAGCAAAGTCGCCGCAAATGAATTTACATAAACCGATGGATGGTGGCCAAAGGGGTTTATTTTTTTTTGTACCCAGTACCAGTATTAGTGGCAGTAGTAGTGGGTGAGTGTGAAGTCAAAAGTGAAACCAGCTCATTGTTTTTGTTACGTTTTGTGAGGCAATAGCAAGACACAGCTAGAGTACAGAAATTGAAACATTTCACATTTTTAATTTGTACGTGATAGGGCAAATAGTTTTGCCACTTGCAGTAGAGATGGTGGCACCCCCTTTTCCTTGCCATGGAAAATTATGCAGCACACAAATCAGCTCTAGTTTGCCCCTCGATGTTGCATGCTAACGTGGCAGGGCAGACAAATCGACTCTTTTTTCTGTCTGGCTTGCAGCACTTAGCACATGATTGAAAATTGGCCCGGCGAATGAAGTGATTGGAAGGAAAATAAATGGAAATAGTTTCCCTGATTCTGATTGCTGGAGGGGAATACAAAATATATATATATATGTATGTATATATTTATTTCTTTGGACAAACAATTTGAGGAACTTTGCTCTTTTGTTTTTCTTTGGCATTGTCTTTTGGCATTAAAGGCAAATTTACAAATTAGTGTGAAATTAAAGCCAAAACAGAAAAGTACACAGACCAAGGCAAACACAAACACAGTGTGCTATAGAGTCTATGAAGTTCCAGAATAGACCTTAAAGATACCCCGTTGGCTTGCTACTCGTCGTATTCTGGATCGTTCTGCCAGTGAAGGCGTCGCAAGTACGAGAAGGCCACCAGCCAAGAATAGAGACTGACAACTGAAAGGAAAATTCAAATCTAAAATTAACCCTAAAAATTACTAGGCACAAGGACTATTTTTATTTCCCCCGAAGTTTACTCACTCAATGTGATATATACGGGTGTTGTTTCCAAAGCACAGAACCTACATTCCACGGCGTACTCCACCACGAAGGCTGTGCTGAAAATCAGGTGAAATATATTCGTACCCAGGTAGATGATTACAAGTGTCTCGATCTGCTGCAAATCAGAGTGGGGGGATCAGAGAGGTGATGGTGCCTGGAAGATCACATACCAACATGCTGCCCATCAACAGAAATATCGAGCCGATGAAGTGAAACATGTACGCCAAACGTCCAATCAGAAACAGCTTACCCTCTTGTGGTTTAAAGATTTCTATATTTTAAGATTCTATATCTGAGCAGAGCTTACCTCTGTTTATTACCTTCGGCCACAAAGAAGCCCAGGATCGATGCAAAGATCTCAAATAGTGCCAGAAAGAAGCAGCCCGCCCGCAGATCCACACAGCAGCAGCATGATTTCAGCCTCGGGACTCGACATTTCATCTCATCTCTCGGCTGGCAGCAGGGCGAAGGCCTACTACCATCTTTCAAAAATATGACTCTAATATAGCCAACTTGGCATTACTGATTCGTATTTAATTTTTTTCGGCCATTCAAGGTCAGAGTCAGCTGCTCGGAACATGTGATAATGTTTGGTATTCTAATTTCAAACGCCTTTGTCTTGACTGGCTTGGCTGGCTGGCTTGGCGTGGCCGGCTGGCTCATTCAGTTTGACAGCCGACGGACGGAAGCGACGCCGCCTATAAATTACAGCATTCAGCTTTGAATTGGACTTGCTTTCTGAGTCAATTTCTGGCCAGCTTTGTCAGGGGCCCGTGTGCACTTCAAACTCCAGAGCCAGACAGGAAGAACGAGGCAGTCGATTGTTCCAATGACAGGCTAAGTAGAGCTGACAGGAGGCGGATCTTAAATAGATTTTTTTTGGCTATAAAGTCTAAAGATCCTTCTCTTATAGGTTATAGAACCATATATGATTTTTGACTTTATTTCATCGCCTATTATTTGGCCATAATAAGTGAAAGAAGGCTATGCGTGCACGTGTTCAGGCCAAAAGCTTATACTGTTCAATGGGGAGATGGCTGAGAGGCCATTAAAATTCATTAGCCGTGCACATATCTCGATCTGGAGTGCGAGATCCGATCAATAAGCAAACAATAAAGAATCAACTGACCGACCAGGCCAGCTGCTACGAATTCGAATTAAAATTCATATTGCCCAAATTAGCAGCAGAATCTTGAAGATATTATTACCCTCATTTTATTGGTTCAGGGTTAAGAGATGGTACTTGATGTGTGGGTGTACTGGCTTGGCTAATTAACCTTTCAAAATTGAATTTCCTCAGTTTGTAATTCGTAATTATTTCACAAATAAATTACAAATTTCGAGCGTTTTTCGCTGATTAGCAAAGTGCGATGACTAATTTTTAAAAGGGTGCGAGTACAAGTACGAATACTATACTCGTAGTATGACGCGACATACAGTCTGCCTTTGTTTATGTTATATAATCGAAGTCTGTCCCGAGGTGTAAATAAACGGCATATTATAGCATTTCTAATGACAAAAACAAAAATACCTTACTTTTTTTTAAAAACCAGATAAGGTTTGTTGTTTTATTTTATTTTCTTTATTTTTTGCTTTGAAACTGTGACAGATAAGTTGAAATTCCACTCGAGCTTATGGCCCACCCCCTGCCAGGAAATTTTGATAAGAGCTTTTTAGCGAAATAAAATTAAAATTAAAATAAATGCAAATGCAAATAAAACCCGCAGCTGAAAAAAAAGTAAAAACATTCACAAAACAAAATCTATTCAATGTCAAGGTCAGTGGAGCTCGCCAACAAATAAATTCGACTGTTTTGTGTCTCATATCGTTTCTTCTCTTACTTTTAGCTTTTTGTTGTTTTGCTTTTTTTCAGCAATTTTTATTTGCTTTATTTTTATATTTTATTTTTTTTTATTGGTCATTGTTGATAACTTTATTTGCTTGTAGCCTGTAGGCAGTAACAAGCTTTAAAAATAAAATGACGAAATATTATTTTGCAACCCGTGCTGTAGGTCTGTAGGGAATTGTTTTATTTTTCTTAAGCTTTTAAGGCTTTTAAGCAACTTGTGTTTTTGTTTTTATTTGACCAATGACGTCAGAACAAGAAACAATCTTAAAAATTGTTCAGAAAACAAAAACAGAAAGCAGCTGAAACATTTTTCTTCGGCCATCGAAGAAAACTTAAAAGTCACGTAATAAAAATATTTATTTCTATATCTACATATGTATTTGTTCGATTAGTCAGTTTTCTACGTGGCTCTGAGCCAATATTTTTATATTTATTTTAGAAGCCAGCCCTTTGGGGGGGAAATCCTTATCACCAGTCATCCGGCTTGAATGCGAATTCGAGCTCTCGAGTCTCCAGTCTCGAGGAATTTCCGCTCGCTTGTCATATTTTGCAATTTGCAAGCTGTCATAGAATTTACATTTTTTTATTTAGACTATACTTCTATAGCTGCATTGTGCTTATCGTGTGGTTTTTATTTTTCTATCCATTTTTTTTCAGCTCCACATCTGGTTGCAATGGGATCTTCTCACGTCGCCTGGACTTTTCTTCATTCAACTTGCTGCCAAAGACGCGTTTAAATTCTTATCAAGTCAAGGTAAGTTATTGAAAAGAAAATCTCAAAAAATATATAGCTTAGTTTTCTTGAATAAAAAACAAAATGGATAAATATTTTCCATATAAACATAACTCGTAGACCATTCATTGAGAAAATTGCTTGGCTATGATTTCTGGGAAGGAAAGGCAAACAAAAAATCCATCTGACTTGGCAAACTGGCAACTGGATATGTCTTGAGGGTCTTGAATTAAATAATTTCCAGCTGTTTTTCGGAGGCTGCTGACTTAAGTCTCAATTCTGTGGAAGAGCCCAGCCATGAATGCATTGTCTAAGCTATTTTCAAGTCACATGAGAGTGGCTCGGAAAAATAATCTATGATACTGAAAGAAACAAATACAAGAGTGGTTATTCTTGGCCTTTGAAAGTATTTCTTTTAAGTAATTTCTTTCAGTGTACTTTATCTTCAATTGTGAATGAGTGCATTGAAAACCAATCAAGAGGAAAAAGTCTTTGGGGTTTTGAAGGTTTCGGGTTTTTTGTTTACACTTGTGGGTGAAGTTGAGACCTATGAGTATGAAAAAAATAATACCCTTTAAAGTCAATAATATTAATTAATTTTAAATTATAGAAACACTCTTAAATTTCCACTTGTAACTAGTTTTTTTTGGGAATATATCTTCCTGTGTATTATATGCCTTCTTAAGCCCTTCGAACTGCACCACATTGTTATGGATTATGCTCCAGTGGTTACGATTGATATGATTGGGTTTGCGGTTGAGGCGAGATTCGAGGCGGCTATTGAACCGATTCGAGTTCATCGGGGATTGTTTCAAGTGGCAATTAGCGGGCCTCCAAGGCAAACTTTGCCATTTGCGGTTTGCTGGCCAGGTCTACCTACCATCCTTTTGGTGGGCAGCAGAGCTCATGAAATCATCATACGCCACCGCATCCGAGAGATGCAGAAATTCGCCAGAAATCCTTGGAGTGCGCCTTGAATATTTCATAAGCAGCCACAGACAGAGTGGAAAGGAGTTCTCGCAGGATAACAATTGCATACGAGATAAGTGGAGAAAGCATACCTGTCTCCTCTGGCTTTGGCTCCCAAGCTCCTCCTCCTGCCTTGAATATGTTTTGCGTAGACAAAATTGTATCTGGCGAATGTATCTCTGTATCTGTATCTGCTGCAGCTGCTCTCGGGATTCCCTTTTGGCCAAAAAAAGCTTTGTCTGGGAGCGAATTGCTTTTAAAAACTTTACAATTCAATCTGCTGTTGTTGCTGTAGAATCCCCTTGTATTCTCGTTTTTTTGGCATGCATTCCGAATTGCATTTTGTATTGAATTTATAAATATTTAATGCCATTCAAAATGCCATGCAACCCCAGAATCGGGCTCACTGAGCATAAACTGTCTAGGATTTTTCGGTTTAAAGAATTGAAACGAAAATGAAAGAAGGGAAAAGCGCCCGAAAAAAAGGAAAAGTTGCAGGGCCAACAACTTTTTCGGGATTAGACAAGTTTCTGGGAGAAGGATTTAAATGTTTGCCCGAAGGACTTAAGCCCAAAGCACAACAATCGAAGAAAAGAAACCGGTTTCGAGCAGCTCGTCATAATTAATACAAGTCAACTTGTTAATCATCCAGCAATTTGCTGGCACTCGACGATGATATTCCCGAAAGGGTTGTTACACTCCTTCGCTGCCGCCTCGCTGATTTTTTAATCAGCATATCATAGACTCCGAGGGTTAACCTCTCCAATCAGCTGTCGACATTTTGGCCGTCAAGGGATTTGCGTCAAAAAAAACAACGAGAGCCCGAGGCTATGGACAGTTTTAAGCAGCTATAATTATAATTAACAGAGCGCGCCGGGGATTGAACTTCAAAATCGGACCCAATCCGCACATCTGCTAATTGTTTCAGCTCTTCCTTAATCCTTCTCTTGTAGGGGTGTGTCTCGGAGATGATTCAGTTTTTGAGATCTGCTCTGTTAAATGTTCATTTTCATATACGTATATTTTTTTTTATGCGCGATTTTAATATGCCAATCAATCTTTGTCTCTGGCGAAACGAATTCTTTTGCAGAGCAAACTTTAAGCAAGAAAATAAGTTTTTTTTTTATATAAATGATTGATGAGCCCTGCCACATGTGTCTGCCTCGAAATCGCCATTTCAAATTCTGAAATTTGAATAGAAATAAATAATATTTTGGTGGCTATTAGTTGGAGTCTTTAGTAACAGACTTTAAAGTCCTATATAGCCCTCCATATGGACTCTCTGTACTCTAGAGTGTCGACACTTCTACTGGATTGATGGCTGCACATTCTCGTTGCCAAGAGACCTCTCTGTGTCTTTTCAAAGTGTCAGCTGAATTTTGAGCTGAATTCCGACAAAAATGGCAAAAGACAAAAATTCCGTTGATGGGCGCCACCGGACAGGCCCAAAATTTATGCAGTCTATGAAGGCAAGCGACAAAAAACCCGGGCTGAGAAAAAAAATGTTTGGCATATGGTAGGAAAAAAATGTAAACTTGGCTGGCAGTGGCAGTGCAGAATGCGATTGGAATTAAATTCTTGTTAAAGCCAGCAAATTTATGCAAAAGTTCTCGTACTCTCAGACATGTCTACGCCCACTCAGGTACACTCCGGTACGATACCAAAGTGGAATTGCTTCGGGGCATGTTTGTCAAAGTTGGGCTGCTGCTGCTATTGTTGCTGCTGCTGTTGTGCGCGGATGTTGCTGATGGAGTTTGGCTGGGAGTCTGGACTGATGTGCGTCGCTTGACTGCCTTAAACATGACATTTATTGTAACTGTCTCTCCTCCAAAGAAAAGGTGGAGTACTCCCAGGACGGACAGGAGGCGATGTTGCTGTTGTCATTTAAGCATTTGATATGCATTGTGGTGTGTCTGTCCCTCTGTGTACTTATAGCATCTTACTATCTTGTATATATACTTGTACCTATATAGAGTTTGGGTTGTTTGTATATTTGTGCTTTTGCCAGACGGCGCCAACAGTCGACAGTCATTGTCATGGCAACATGTTGCAGACACCGCTGAGCTGCTGCTGTTGCAGTTGTGTTTGCATTGCTGCATTGAGTACTACAGCATGCCTGCCTCCTACTTCATGCCACACCACCCTCAAGTCACCAGTCGAACGGCGACGACCCCTTATGCTTATCATCCATTTATTTCAATTTCTGCACTTCTGCGTGGTGCAAATTGCACGAAATTTGCTCAAGTGCCTCCTCCAAGTGCCACAATGAGAATGAATAATTATGTTTGTCGGCTTCCTCTTCTCGCCTTCGAGGCGGTTCTGCTTAATTAAATGCCTTCGAGGCAGTGGCAAAAAAACAAATCTCATAAGCAAGTACATAGATAAGTGCCAAACTTTAAGGAAAATTAGGAATTTTAATAAGAAATATTTCACTTGCATTTAAACCACAATAGTAGCTTGTTTTTCTCTAAAAACAGAAATACGGTTTGTTAACCTCAAGGCTGGTGTCCTTTTTTGAATGACAGTTTGTGGGGAAAATTTAATTTCAATTTTCTCATCAACTTATAGCTGCGGCGGCTTAGGAGGAGGCACCTTTCCCTTTCTCCTCTGTGGCTTTGGTAGGTGATTTTGGTATTTCCCGTCGTTAAGTTTGCCGCCGCCTGGCTGAGACAGACTCTACCGGCGCAGGATAATGTCGGCGCCGTAGTCCTGACAGAGGGCCAGATAGAGAGACAGACGGAGACGAGGACATGTACTGACAACAGACATTGAGAATGATTGAAAGGGACTGCAAGGACCCAGCGACCGACATTGAAATGTTGTTGAACTTGTGCCTCCCGTAAAGGGCAGGACAGGTGAGGTTAAGAGTGACTCTTGTGACTTGTCCTTCATCTGCTACGGAGTATTTACTCTTTTTGAAAGTAAAATCCAAAACAATTGTAAATGTCGTAATTCGCCACTGACTCACCTCCTTGGGTGATTTTCGGTTGGACGCGCGATAATTACAACCGCAAATGCAAAAAAAAGGCGCGCATTAAACAAATTTAAAATGCATTGACTTGTGATGTTAACGAGCACACACCATCGTACACTCACTCACATTTATTTAACCTAAAAAAAATGGCACAAACACTTCAAAGTCTGCCCACCTACCTACCTAACCAACATCAATACTACTGGCCCCCCTCTCACACATATCAGAGTCATTTGCATTTGACAATTAAGCATTTGTTTACAATCTTAACAAAGGCAACAATAAAGCCCGAGTGAGAAAATCACCAGTCAGAATAGGTTGTTTTGTTTTTGGGATTGTTCTCTTTTTTAGGAACCCCCTTCCAACTTTTGGGCTACTCGGTTGAGTTAATCTCACACCCACAAAATAAGCTTCACTTCGACGTTGTCTCGTCTCGAATTTTATGATTTCATTTAGATTTATCGCGCGCACACACGAAATATTGTACAAATACATCGAAAGAGACATGTGCTGGGCCTGAAAAGTCTCAATATATATTTAATTGAGGAGGTGGCGGAGATTCGAGGCCTTTGGAAACATAAAAATTGAAAATATTTTAAAGTGCAGCAAGGTCGATACGATCTGACATTTCAATACAGTGCTGGCTCAACTTACACGATGACTTGTGACTCCAAAAGCGAGTGGAGTTCAATGTATTTAATGGCAGATAATAATTGAATTAATAATTAAGGTTAAATAATCTTTTAAAAATGCATTATTATATATTTTATTTTATTTATAACACTCTTTTTTTCCTGCAATTTCCCGCATTTCATTGGCATTGTTTTCTGTCTCGAAAGTTAATTGAAATTTTTAAGGTTCGGCCTGGAAGCATTTTCGTTGCAGTTGCAGTGGCAGTGGCCGGGTTGCAGCTGCCGTGAGCCACTGAACCGCAACGGTTTGCAATTTTTTTTTTTTTTTGTTTTTAACGCTTCATTTGCCTTGAAGAGAGAAATTGGCCAAATGACTGCCACTGAAAAAACGGAGGGGGTATCCCATGAAAGACGAAAATAAGGTAAAGTGAGGATGGAGGTGCAGT